ATAACAATAAACCTGCTTCCCTTAGTGTTTAGGTATAAATGGGTTGCTTCAACAGATTGAATATGATTTCCTATTGATGCTTCTCTGTCACCAGTATTATTGTTACATCTACAAATTAATTTCAATTGAAGTAGCACTGCAATAGTAGTAGTAGTACCACAAGGTAAGGCATACAGTGTGGGGAACAAATAGGAGGAAATTGAGATATGCATGCTATGTTGGCTTTGAGGGGAAAGAGATGTGGTGGGATAGGTCACACAACTGGAACACTACACTGAGTAGATGTAACATTTTTTAGAAAGAACACAAGAAGTGAAAATGGGGAGTCACCCTTTTGGGAAAGAACAACAGAAATTCATGGAGATCTACCTAGGATTGGATGATGAGCCACTTAAGAATTCATGATTAGTGGGCAGGCCAAAATGGGTAGTCTTGCAGTGGATACATCAAGGACAACATCCTGGCACAGATTATTATGGATCAGATGGTAAAAAATGCTCTTCTGAACTTGATTTTTAAAAAGTAGAGAGTTTTGGTGGGAAATCAGAAGGTTGGGGCAGTCTTGGCTGCCATGTTTAAGAGAGGGTGGAGTTCAAAATCCTGGGATAGGTTGGGGAGATGGGAGTGGAAAACAAAGGTGAAAAAACAGGATCACAGCCTTAAGCTTTGTACAAGTCAATTTAGGCCTCTTTGGAGAATTTCATGGTATAAATTTGTAAAGGAAAGAGGTGTCTAGGAGAATCAATGGGTTTTCAAGAGTCACTTCCTCTAAACTCAAGAATGGTTCATCCTGAGCAAAATAACATCAAGCAAATACGCCACGAGGCTTACAGAAACGAACAAAGAGCTCATTAAAATGCTTACATATGAAATTGGAAGTGTAGAGACCTGGAAGAAGTACCTGGTGATCCAGAAGGAATTTAGTCACTCTGAAGGACTGAGAGTACTGGGGGTTAGGATTCTTTCCTTTTGTTCCTTTTTACTTAGGGATTTCTTTTTCCCATAAGTTGCTAGGGAACACTAATTACTGAGTACTTAAGAAAAATAGAAGTGGCCACCCTTCCACATGGGGAGGAGGGCATCTGGTTGCAGTTCTCTTATCTGGGAATTTTTCTCCGAGGACAGAGAGACCAGGAGAATTGGACAGGTAAACAACAGGGCTGGGGCAGCTTCTATCTCTCTCTCTCTCTCTCTCTCTCTCTCTCTCAGCTGTGGAGGAAGGCAGTTGGAGCTGCTGCTTAGGGAAAGGAATTCGCTGTTGCTGCTGGAGCCCAGCCCAGATGTGCTTCTTCTGCTGTGGGATGAGTCTCTGCTCATGAGAGCAGCCACTCAACTGGAACATATCCCTGTATGCTCGGGTGCCCAGGATCCTGAGTTCATCTCTCCCTGCCCTGCTCAGAGCCCGGCCACCGCGGTCCTGACCCCACCACTTCTTCAGCACTGCTCTGGGTTTCACTGCACTGTAGCCCCACACTCCCTGCCTGCCAAGACATCCTGCCATCCCAGCTTATTGCTTCCGAGAGTCCTGCTGGGGCACTGGGATCGACTAGGAGGAGTTTATGAAGCAAAGCCTCTCCTTTTCCCATCTTGGACAAAGCAGCCATCACCACATGGTCCCTGAGCCCGCTGTACAGCGCCCCCTGCAGCCGCGGGGGAATCACTGCACCTCCCTGCCCAGCCCGGAGCCACCAGCGCCCCTGCTGGCTGTGCCCAGAACTGCACTGAGGGGGAAAGTGCCTGTGGCCGGGAAGGTGTCGCTGGGTTCCTCTTTTGTTTGGTGTTAATGCTGTCGTTGTTGTTTGTTTGCTTTGTTCTACATACCTGTAAAGAACTGTTATTCCTATTCTCATATAGTTGCTGAGAGCTCCCTAATTATAAAATTATAATAATTCGGAGGGAGGATATTTACATTTTCCATTCCAAGGGATGCTCCTGCCTTCCTTAGCAGACACCTGTCTTTCAATTCAAGGCAGAGGGATAGGTTTAAAAAGTCAAAGTCCATCTGGGGTTGTAGCTGGCAAGGGGCATGAAGGGTAAAATGAGGGGCTTCTACAAGTAAATCAAGAAAAAATATTTTAAAAAATGAATGCAACTGAACATCAAGTTATGTTAATTTTCAAATGTTATTTGACTTTAGTCATACATATGGCATATCATATATTGTTTTACTTAACTATTCAGAAAATGCTTTAGTAATGAAGTGAAACTGTTTTCTAAATGTTGAATTAATTGTAAGTAATAAAAAGAAAGAAAACTAAGTCCAAAGACCTGTTGATCTTACATTTTGTTGCTCTCTGGCAGATTGGTGGATGAATCAGTAGTTCTGACTGAATTTTGTGTAACTTTTAAAAGAAATTATGTATTTAATGCTAGAAATAGAATGCCAACTGTTTTGTAGAAGATGAGAAGACTTATAGGCCAGAGTTTAAAAGAAGGGCTATTTTATTTTGATTATATGTTCCAAATGTTTGGGCTTTTCTTAGTCTGTTCTATCACAAACCCACACATGCAAACAAAATATGCTGACAAATTCAGCTACTCAGAGGTATAACCCAGTCCTTTTTTAGTGTGTCATAGGGTGTGTACATTTTCTATTTCATAAACAAATCAGAGAACTGCTTCACCATCCTTCCGCACAGCAATGTTCTCAGAATGATACACAGTACTTTCTTTGCTGTTAACCAGACTGAACATTGATTCTTGCAGTGCTCAAGATCTGCAAAAAATTATGGGTAACTTATGTCATTTTGGATGACTTGATTAAGAACAGGAGAAAAGAGAGATTTGCCATACTTGAAACTGACTGTCCAAGACATCTAAAAGTGCCTGAGAAATGTGGAATTATGACCAGTAATCTTAGGTAGTAGTGATGAGGGTGATATAAAAATGGAAAAGGCAAAGTTAGCATACAAAGCTAAACTAATAGCTTCCCATATAAAGAAAAAACATAATGATTTAAAAATAATTACAGTACAGCATTTGAAAAATCAAATTTCTTTAAGAGTCTTTTGCAATCAAAACTGAGTTCTTGGTTTGAGGCAACAGTGTTATAAACATGAGAGAGGACAAGAAACTCTTGTGACAATGAATGAAAACAATGTGTGTCTGAACTGACAATAAATTAATTCAAAGTAAAAATTATGATGTGACCACAGTCAAGGAATTTATTAGAAGTTGTTAGTAATGTTAGTTGTTAGTTGTTAGTAATGAAGAAAAAAATGAGAAAAAGTGAGCCAAAATGTACAAAGGAAAATATAAAGGAGAGCTAGACCATCATTGTAAAAACACTGTTAAGTGATTTGAAAATCTTTAGAAAAGTGATTTGAAAATCTTTAGAATGAGAACACTTATTATCTAGGAATTGAAAAAATTCTGAGTTTCCAAAAAAAAATTCTAAGGGTTTTTGAATGGTTTAAGTGGTAACAGAAGTTCTTAAGAAATGCAAGAAAAGATATCTACTAATGGTAAGATAAAAAATCTGTGATGTCACATTTGATTTTACAGACAATAACCAAGCCAAGAAGTTAATGTGTCAAAACACACACATTAAAAAACCCCACCTTTCAACAATGGGTAAAATATGCCCTTAGCATGATAGGGGACAAAATATGGGACCATGCAAAATCATATGAGTAGTAGAGATCAGCTGACTCAATTAGCATAGATTTCACTAAAGTACAAATGCATAAACTTTTGTATAAAGATAAATCAGAATTGCCAAGTCTTTGCTCCTGGTGACCCAGCTGGTTTTGCTTTCATTACACTGAAAACAAAGCAGAGCAGGAAAACACTTGTTGAACGAATCCATGGCATCTTCCAGAGTTTAAGTGAGATGGAACCAATCACAAACACCTGAAAAGCTCATCACCTGAAGAGATGAGCACCCAAAGAGCTCATCTCCTACTGTGATCATTGTTTTGAAATCCTGCCCAAATTTTCTTTAAAACTGTCATACTGGATGGCTGATGATATCACTAAGACATCTTCTTCAGACCTGAATAAACCTGATAAGTTTAGATATAGTGATAAAAGTTGCCATATCTTTAGTTTGCCTTATATTATCCAAGATTTCGTACTGGGGTAATTTGCTTAGTGGTGCAAGAACTGCCATGTCCAGAAAACTATGTAGGCTACACTTTCAAAGGATGGAATACATACATTTTTTCTACATTAAGAAGATTCTCCAATTGGTGCTGTAAAATATAACAGTTGTTGAAAGTAACATACTTCATATGCCATTTCAGTTATACTCCTGAAGAATATTATCTTTTTCCTGTCACACAAAGAGTTTTCACATTGAATATTACTGTGTTGTTCTAGGGAGACACAAGGTTTCTGTGTTCACAGATAGTATAATCCTTTTTGCAGACATTTTGCAGACTTCTGTGTCAACAGAATTAGTTGTCATAGATATCTCTAGCTAGACAAGATAGTTTCAAGTGTTCTGAGTAGCTTAGTTTTGTACACATCTTGCTTGCCAAATGAATTTTAGTAACTTATTTTCATATGTATTCCCAATGAGCAAAGAAACAGCCAATGGTAGAAGGGCTCCCTTCCCTTTGGGGTGGCAGTGGTCCTGGCAGGCACTGTGACTTTGACAGTAGCAGCAGCAGTAGCAGCAGTAGCAATAGCTGCCCCTTCTTCCAAGACTTCAGCAGGAGTAGCAGAAATTGCAGCTTGCTGCATGTTAAAAGGAACAGTCTCTTTTTTTCCCATAGTGGAGGTAAGACTGACTCCACTTCTGGCTTCCCAGGACTTAACATTTTCTGCTGAAACCGTACCTCCTTGCCATAATGTGGGTGGTACAGAATTAAACTCCAAAATCTTTTCCCTCTCTACGCAGGACAACAGAATAAAATACTAATGTGTGATTCTGTGATTCAGTTTTTTATAGCACTTCCCTTAAACTTGTAACGGGACTTGTGTACAGTTTCACAAGTTACTGTAGAATAACATATTTCAGTAAAACAGTTCAGAAATATAACGTGAAAGCTGGATACCTCCCACATGTTTTGTGCACTTGAACACCACGTAGAGAGTCTCTCCGAAACCACCTCTTACTGCAGTAAGAAAAGACTGATTGTACTGCTTCCTGGTCCTGTGCAATAAAGAGTTAAAAAAATAAGCTCAGCTGATGAATTATGCTCATTACATATAGAAATTAAACTAGTAGACAATTAAATCTGTGAAGAAAGCATCTAAAATTAATTTTCTTTGTGTAACTACTCTTTTCTTTTAGGAGACAAAGGGTCTGATCCACTATGAAAAGTAATATAAAGAAAACACTATTTTCCATTTTTCCATAAAAGATTTCCATCTTACCTGGGAGCCCCTGCCAGTCATATACACAAGCTGTGAAGTGTCACAGATCACCACAATAATGGAATCTGAGCTCAACAGGATAAATGTGTCATTCAGAGAAACAAACTCTTACCTCGCTCTCAAGACCAGTAAAACAGTTGCAAACCAGAAGAATATAGGGAGTGCAGGAATCCTGATATGTTCTGTAATCTTAAGGGCTGCGGGCAGGGCTGCAGGGTCATGCCACTCTCACCCACTTACCAGATGAAGACAGCTTTAAACACATTGTTGCTATCTCAAGACCCTGGTGCTATAACTCTAACAATGACTTTGCTCTCTGACCCTTCCAAAGACTCAGAAACAGGCACCTGCTGAGTTACTGAGAGCATTCCCTTTGGAACCAGGACAATAAAATCAAGAAATAACCTGCATTCTGGATCATGCCATATGATAAAGAAACCTAATGGATTTGTGGCTTCCTCCTGTGCATAAGGTCATCATAGAATTTTTTTCATCTTGTTCCAGACTCCAATAGGACATGCTGCACTATTTAAATTCAGAATGCATCTCTTCACAAACATAAATACTTCAAAGTGCCCTTTCTTTTTGAAGCAAAATAGTCAGAACAAAAAGCAGAAAACTTTATGCAAGAGTGGTGACCACAAGTTTTTTACTACCCAAAGGGGTAAAAGGACCAATAAATCTTTTATAGTTTCTTTTGAACCATTAAAACTAGCACTTCAAGTGCTTTTTATTCAATGAAAAGCTTTTGCAGTGTGAACACCCAGATCAGTTCATGTGTTTAACTTACTCATTAGGCTGCGCTAGAGGTAAAGTGGCTTTGAGAGTGGAGAAAAAGTGCCTTGAGAGGAAGCTGAAGGCATTCCACGATCACAGCATAATGTCAGAATGTTCACAGTATTGTTCTAAATTGAACTAAATCAGATCAAATTATGCTGTCAGAGTAAAATGGGACCCAATTATACCTTTTTTTTCTTATTTTTTAAACTGTTTTCTTTATACAAAAAAATAATGACTTCAGAACATTTAGTTAAAATTTTGGATTTACCAGAAAATATAAATTATTGGAAAATGCTTAAAATCTTCAAGGTTATGAAAGGATGAGTTTTTAAACATTTGGAACCCAACCATTGAAAAGGAGGAACCAAAAGTGAACTTGAAGCCAGAGAGCCCAAGCTGCTGTTGAAAGCTGATCAACTTGTACCAGGTTGCTCAAGGTTTTATTTGCCTGGACATAGAAAATCTGTTTATTTCTATAAATTTTGAAACTTTAAAAGCAGTCAAAATTTTAAGTGCTTTATTACTCCAAGTTATAGTAGTCTTCTAGTGTCATCAAATTTAACTGGCAAACTAAACCTCTGGAGTCCCACCAATGAAGTTAAATGGTTTCTCTGCAGAATGGAGAACTCTCTTCAACAGATGTTTTCTCCTAAAACAAACCCCACAGAGAATTGAGCTATTCCATTAAAATTGTCACCAAAAAAAAAACCAAAAACAAAACAAAAAAAACCCCCAAAAGGAACCCCCTCCAAAAAAAACCAAAACCCCCCAAAACAAACAAAGACAGAAACAAACCCTCAAAAAGGCATGCAATAATAGTTTATTTGAAAGAAAAAAGCAGCACCAAAACCCACTAAAACATATATATATTTCTATAGAGAAAAAATAATATAATTAATTTATTTGTTAACATGCTAACACTTTTTTCTGCAGCAGTGATGAATCTGACTGAACATTTACTACAGATAAAAACATACAGTATTTTAAAAAAATAATATTTCTGGCATGCTGACACAACTCTGTAGACTTACCTCTGACCAGCCAATAATTTGTACATTTTGAAAACATATAGTAAATTTATTTAGAATAAAACTAAACCAAAACCAAACAATGAGCATAACAAAACCAAACAATGAACACAACAGAACAAAACTAAACATGAATGCTGAATTAATTCAGTAGTGACACATGCTAAGAATCTATTTTGGCCATGTTACTGACCCCCCTTTTTTAGAGTTTCTACTTATTTTTGGTCTAAACTGAAAAATAATTTATTTTTTCCCCCTGTAGGTCATGCCATAAATGATCTGCAAATGCATGTGGTTTCTGATAATGATGTGTGTCTCCAGCTGACACTCAGAGAAGTTCTGTGTCATGTAGTGGTAGTTTTCCCAGTTGGATGGAAGTGATTCAGGCAAAAAGAGAGGCCACCATTTGGGGAAAATTGTGATTGAGATCTATGGTTGTATGATGTGTGAACAAATGATAACAGACAATCTAAGACTTTGTTGATCATGTATTTACTAAAGGTATCTTAAGTCATGTGCCTTCCTGCTATATTTACTTAAATTATTTCTTTATACATGTATTAAAAGAGGACAAGAATTCACTTAGTAGCTTGCCTGCCTTGATAGCTCATCAGTAAGAAATACATGAACTAAATGAACAGCAATATTCATTGATATTAATTTAAAGTATGGTGCACAAAAATGAATCTACCCTTTCCTTTGTCATTTAACACTTACCACTTTCTTTGATAGTTTCTGAAATTGTTCCTGAATACCAGTTTTAGAATCCTAAATATAATTTATGTCTGTGTCAGAATGCTACTGTCAATAATATGAGCTTGTGTGAAAGGATTTTTTCTTTCATTTTTACTTAATGTCCATGTCCAGGTATCAACTGTTAGAAAGAAAACACCTTGGGAAAAATAAGAATTCAAATTGACATTGTAGATGACTGTAAAAAGAATGAGACTTCTTTCCACCTAAAATATGAATAACAATATTTTTTCCTGTAAAGTTTCAATCACATCACCTTTGCTCCAGTCCTGAATTTCCTTGGGAAAAAACGGTAATTTCCCATTAACTTTTCCTATAGCTCTGATTCGAGTATTTCATAAGCCAGAGGGAGACCCATAGCATCTGCCAACACAGAATAGGTCTGATTCGTATTTCAGATAGAGGATGAACCATTTAGAATATACATATATATATATATTTACTATACAGTAAAACTTTACAAGCATTATGGTAGACTTTAAAATTGCATATATTATGAGCTTGATAATTGATAGAAACTATTAAAACCTTTTGACATTTTTTAATTTAATTGATTTTTTTTTAACTCCATAAAATACACAGTTTTCTGGTTAGGAAAGTATTCTTGGTATCCACAGGGAAAAGAGAAATGTCTGTTTATATCTTTCACATGTGTTTCTAACCTTAAGTTTTCTTCTCTGTGAATTTTAGCTAAGAAACTGTCCTAGGGTGACTTTATAATGCTTGTATCCCCAACTGTCTGTTCTGCTTATGCTGGATATTGAGTTCTGTGCTTTTAAGACTAGATCTGAGAGCAAAGGGTGAAAGGGAGAAGGGAAAATGGTGGAATTTTTTCATGGTTGCATTCAAAACCAGAATGATAAGTGCTTCAGTCCTCTCTCCCTTGGTGAGTGTTGTCTGCAGCATGGACATGGAGCCGGAGAGAGCTCTCCTTGGCTTTTAGGTTTTTTTTAAACAAGCTGAGGCAGAGAAGTTCCCTCGTCTGTGGCTTTTTCTTTTCCTGAACTGTTCAAATCTGCTATGGACAAAAAACCCAGAAAAACACTGGGAGATCACACCTGTGGCCCACCAGGGCCCAGGACGCTGCATTCCAGAGCCAGTGGGACTGACAGATACTCAATGAGCCAAGAAACACCACAGAGGACTCTCTCTGAACTACATAAAGACTTTCTGAACTTGTCATCTCTTCAGAACAAGAGGATTTATTGTTTAATAATAATTTTTTATGCTTATGAATACTTTGCCTGTTAAATAAACAGGTTTTTTCCACTTTTCTCAAAGGAGATTTAAGTCTCCCAGAGAGGTGAGGGAGGGGTTGCTTGAATTTGCTTTCTAGAGGGACCCCTTTGGAGGTTTCCTCCCAAATTTGTCCCAAACCAGGACAGAAACTTACCAAATTATTTTCCTTCTCAATTAAATAATACAGAACAGTATCCAGCTAACTTGCTGTGATAATTCCAGAGAACATACTGGCATCTCTCTGTGGTGCCTCTTCATAAAAACACAAGCCTATGGTCTGTAATGTGAGAATTGGCAAGTAATACATTTGTGTTAATGAAAAGTTTGTTGTAAAGAGGCAAGACCAAAGATGAGGATGATTATTTTTCTATGACATTGTTCTCCACACAGTTCTACACATGTAACTATGACCGCAAATAACAGAACATCACTTTCACTCCTGTTTGTGCCTGAAGTAATACATCCATTCTGATGATAATTGTACAGACTCTAAGAGCTATCCAATATAAGACAAAAACATCAGGTAGCTGAATTCTGTGGGGCGCTAGCTTATCTTCTACAGCACCAAGTAGGGTACGAAAAAAATCATAAAAACTAGTATTAATTCCACATAATATAAAACTACTAGAAACTGGATAATGTATGATTGTTTTAGAAGGAATATCCAGCTCAACAACATGAATCAATATCCTCAGATCAAGAGCAGAGTTTTCACTGATCTTGACAGGAGTTGAGTAAAGTCTATATGGAATGGTTTTCTTGCTGGTAGAAGTATGAAACATACAAACATAAATGGTAAAAGTAGGAAAAGAAGAAGATGAGGCTGCTGTGCCCACAGCAGAAAAATAAGTGTCTGGCTGAAACAAAAGACTATTGTATGATGTTAAAATTTGCTCACTTAGTTAAAAGCCACAATAGTTAGGAAATTAAGCCTTTGCTGGCCTTTCAATGGAGTAGGAAATGCTGGATGCAGTACTTTAGAGAAAATAATTGACATAATTGTTAAATTAATCACTGAATGCCAGCAACTTTTAAATCAATGGGCGGAATTTGACAGCTCCTAATATCTGCACCTTGTATATGTGTGTGTGTATTGCATTACATAGAAGTTCAGTGAGTTCATAGTCTCTGGGAGAGCGTAGTATTCCCTTTACATGTATGTAAGGACATTAGCACTAAACAAAAAACTACTTTGACATTAATTTTTAGATAAACTAGTTTTGTATGTTTATGTTTTAATATCATAGTTTTATGGGCAAGTAAGACTGGATAGTGCTAACATTATCTAACTTAGAAATTATATTCAGTGAAGAAGGAAGCATATTCTGTATAGAATGAAAAAAACCCTGAGACACGGATTACAAATAGAAGTGTTTAAAAAATAGTTATTTAAAAAAATATTTTATTATCAGATATATTATTATAATTACTATTAATTATTTTATTAAATATTTAAATTTTTTTTTTTTAGTTAGACAAATTTAGGTTTTGAAACTTGGAATCCTCAATTCTATTTAAAATGTAAATACCTGTAGTAATGTAAGTTAAATAAAATCCTTGCAAAACGCTTCTTATTTACCTCAATTGCATCAAGAACAATGAGCCTGTTTCTTCAAATGCCATAAGCATTTATCTGTTTAATAGATACTATCAATGAAAGATAGAATTATTTTGACATTTTTGGGGATTTCTTCTAAGCTTCTGAATAATTAATAGGAGCTTAAAAAAGTACAAAGATCTCTAAATATAGGCTTCATTTTTATATTGGGATATATACTTTTGCCATGTAGCTTTGAAGTGATTTTATTATCTAGAATTTGTTTTAAAACCAAGCCAAGTCATTAATGACTAAAAATATCTGCTCTCTGTGATCAGACTTTAGTGAAAGGACTTGAGTGTGAGTACTTCCAAATCCTGACTTTTACAGGGATTAAATAATACTAAGCTAGTATGATCACTTGCTCTTTAAAGATGATCCCACTAATACCTTAGCTGAATTGGCAAGACTTACAATGTTCTACCATTCCTTTTATCTCTTTTGTGAACAGATGTATAATTTCTTGACTATGAGACGAATGCAATTTGTCAAGACCACTGGATTCAGCTGAAATACGGAAACAGAGAAGTTCAGAGCACATGCAGAAGCAAG